TCTGACAGAGGTTGAATATTTTATAGTGAAAAGAAGTTCTAAACTTGAAAAGTTGCGTTCCGTGTTGTGCTGAGACCAATGACTTGCAAATTTAAATCTGACATTGAATGTATTGAGTAAAGAAGATGAGATTGAGTGGAGGGGAAGTTTTTATGAAGTTTGTGGTAGAACATGAGACTTTGTTAGTAGGTGGGTGGATGAGAATTTAAAATTTTGAAGATGAGGAGTTCAGCAACTTCGGATACTCCAAATGAAAATATGATCGAGAAGCAAGCAACATCATATAACCATCAAAATTACTTGTTTAAAACTTTCAGTTTCAACAAAGTTTTTTTTTTTAAAAGAAAGAAAAAAAACAAAAAAAAAGGGAGAATTCAAAAAATGGGAGACCAATGTCACACTGAAGAACAAACAATAAAAATGCAAAACATGAAAATAAAAAATAAATTAAAGTTTAAAAATGTGCCGGACATTGAATGGACAGGGCAGCATGTAGTTTTGTGCAGGTGTGTGTTTTTATGAATGCTTACACAAAAGATGACAATCGATAAATATATGTCTCGTCTTCCTCATCATCTTCACATGCTTCCACTTTTTACTAACATCTTATAAATGATTGGAATAACTTTCGTTACAACTACAAATAGAAAAGAAAATAATTTCGAAATATAGTTAACACAATTTCATCAAATAGATCTCACTCGCCTTACCACCCACACAAACACACAAAAACTAACGACACACGAAGGCATAAACACACTGACACACAAACAAACAAACAAACACAAACAAACACAAACAAACAAACACAAACAAACAAACATAAACAAATATGCAAGCTTGTATTCTGCATGTAAGTATGTGTAATGTAAAAAATTACTATGAAATAGAAAAGGAAATAAACTAGTAAATATACACGAACTCATAAGCAGTTCTCTTGGTCCTAACCCCTCCACTATTGCTATTGATAAGGTGTGTTTAAAGTGTTGTTGGCATCTACACAACAAATCTTGAAAAATTTGACAATAAATAACGAAAAATATGCCAGCGATTGTAAATTTATATGAAAAATACAAATAAATAAATTATTTTTGAATGTGTGTGTGTGCACGTGTATGTGTGCACGTGTATGTGTGATTGTTGCCATGGTGACGTAGGACTATTGATTGGACGAAATGTAAATGAATGCCTAAATAACGCGTGTCTGTTTGTTTGTTTGTCGGTTGTTTGTTTGGTTGTTTGTTGGTTTGTTTGTTGGTTTGTTTGTTGGTTTGTTTGTTTGTGTGTTGTTTGTTTTGTTGATGATTTGCTTGTTTAGTTGTTGGTTTGTTTGTTGCTGGTTTGGTTGTTGGTTTGTTTGTGTGTTTGTTCATTTTTTGGTTGTGTTTATAGTTGATGTGTTTGTTTTTTGTTTGTGTTTGTTTGTTTGGTTGTTGTTTAATGCTGATGCTGTTTGTTGTTGTTCGTTTATTGTCGTTGTTGTATTTGTCCGTGTAGTCGTTCAATCCAGAGAGTTTCGTTCATTACCAATTCATTAATTTTTTACCCTACCTCAATTAAATAGCTTGCCGACCTGGCGTTTAGTTTTGTTCTTCCATGGTTTATTGTGTTCAAATATTTATTTCGTATTTTTGTGGCATTCTGTGTGCATAAATAATTCTTATGGATTTGTTGTTGTTGTCGATGCTGTTGTTGTTGATGTTGTTGTTGTTAATGTTGTTGTTGATGTTGTTAATGTTGTTGTCGTCGTTGATGTTATTGTTGTTGTGGTTGTTGTTGATGATATTGTTGTTGTGATTGTTGTTGATGTTGCTGTGATTGTTGTTGTCGTTGTCATTGTTGTTGTTGTTTTGTGTCCCATGTTTTTTGTTCTAAAAGAATATTATTTGTTTATGGTCTTTGTTGTTGTTGACATTTTTTCATCAAGGTTACTAAAATTTATTTTTACACAATTTCTGGTGACATATTTTTAATTTCTGTTATTTTATTGCGCTTTCTGCTCGATAGTTCTGTATCTGCTGTCTTGTTTATGCTGTTGTGTTGTATTATGTTGCTTTTGAGTTGTTGTGTTGTGTTGTTGTTAATGATGATATTGTTGTTAATGATGTTATTGCTGCTGTTGTTGTTGGTATTATTGTTGTTTAACGATGTTGGTATTGTTGATGACGTTGTTTTTTTATGTTTCAATTGTTGTTGTTGTTGTGTTTTTGTTTTTGTGTTGTTTTTGTTGTTGTTTGAATGATTTCATCAAATGGAGAACAAATCACATGAAAAGACGTTTGATTCCTTAAAATTGTTTTTTTTATGAAAAATGTTGCTATGATTATTATTCTTATTATTTTTCTTCTTTAACTTTGTCATTGTTGAGATTGTTGCCACTATTATTATAATATTATTATAATCGGCATTGTTTCTACTACTACTACTACTACTACTACTACTACTACTTCTACTGTTATTAGGATTGATGTTATTATTGATATTATAATTATTATTAAAATTATTATTAATATTATTTTATTATTTTTGCTCTTAATCTTTTTTTTATTATTATTATTATTATTATTATTATTATTATTATCATTACTAATTTTACTTTTAAACTCATTGCTCCCAATATTAATTTTGTTTTCATTGTTTAACTTGTTCTATCTGCTAGCTTTAATTTCAAAATGAACAATCGGATATTTATATGTATCATGAATATGCATCATGAATATTATAATGATATATATGATAGTGTGTATAAATGGATATCATTCTTTCTATTTTTTGTTTCTCCTCATCAAATATTTATGGCTCGCATTCAAGCTTGCCTTATTATAAATATCCTGGTACAATGTTTCGTAAATAACATGCAAACGAATGCACGGGCATCAAATGCATTGTATGTGAATGAAATTATAATTTTTATGACAGATGTATATATACATATGCAAGTGCATTATGAGAACAATATTTGCCGGTGAATTATGCATGCATGTCAGGTGAATGTGCGCCTACGCTTGTTCATTGCGAAGTTCCAATTGTTTTAATTTCTTGGGAATGTTTGATGGACGCAATTGCTTCATGAAAATGTTTGCCGTTTCGTTGAATTATGATGACATCACGGTGAGTTCGGACGAGTAAATTTTTATATGATGGTTTTAAGATGTTGGTGCTTTCGGGTGTCTTCTGAAAAGTCTCAGTTGCTTCAAGTTGGTGCTCCTCACAGTATTTCAATTCAAGCAGCTCTCTGACACGAAAGAGGATTATCTTATTGTACTTTGAATGTGAAAATAATTTTAGGTTGGATGAATTCAGTAGAAAATCAACATAAAGACAACATTGTCAACAACTCAACAAATAATACAACATCAAAAAACTGAAATAAAACACATAAATTACATCAACATCCACAACAACACAACAACAACAATAACAACCACACAACGACAACAACAGCACAACAACAAAAACACAACAACACAGCAACAACACAACAACATCAACAACTTGTAATAAGTGAGCGAGAGTCGAAATATGCATGCACAAAACATATTAATTACGGCTGTCCCAACAATCCGACTAACATTTATCATCATCTTCATCAACATTATCCTCATCATCACCATCACCATCATCACCATTATCATCACCGCCATCATCACCACCATCAACATCATCATTATCCTTATCACTATCACCATCACCATCATCATCATCACTGATGAAATCTGCTAAATCTGTCCTGAGTAATGTTTTCACCATCCTCATCACCGTCACAAAATTAAACTTCAGAATAATTTTCATCATCGTCATGGTTATCATCACATAAAATTAATCATCATCGTCATCATCTCATGTAATCAACACTACATTCATTCGTTCATTCATTCATTCATTCATTCATTCATTCATTCATTCATTCATTCATTCATTCATTCATTCATTCATTCATTCATTCATTCATTCATTCATTCATTCATTCATTCATTCATTCATTCATTCATTCATTCATTCATTCATTCATTCATTCATTCATTCATTCATTCATTCATTCATTCATTCATTCATTCATTCATTCATTCATTCATTCATTCATTCATTCATTCATTCATTCATTCATTCATTCATTCATTCATTCATTCATTCATTCATTCATTCATTCATTCATTCATTCATTCATTCATTCATTCATTCATTCATTCATTCATTCATTCATTCATTCATTCATTCATTCATTCATTCATTCATTCATTCATTCATTCATTCATTCATTCACTCACTCATTAATATATCATCTTCTTCACTATTGTTGCATCATCACCATCACCATCATCATTACCATTATTACATCGTCATATTCCTCATTATCATCATCATCTCATCACATCATCACAACGTCATCATCATCGTCACCGTGTTTATCATCAAAATAGTGTTAGACAGTTTTATGTGCAGCTCTAAATGATGGTTATGTTGCATAAATTGTTGTGTTAAGCCATTCAATAACATGCTGTAAAATAAATTTGTGTGTGTGTGTATGTTGGTTTTTGTGTGTGTAGTTTTGTTTTGTATGTGTGGTTTTGTATGCGTGGTTTTGTATGGGTAATATTTGCGTGTGTGGATTTTGTATGCGTGTGTTGAGAGTGCGGTGTGCGATCTTGCAAGTTTAGACATGTCCATTTCTTTCAATTGTTTTCATGTCTTATGCACTGTTCGTCTTTGGTGGCGTTGGTTTGCATTTGAACGTGGTTGAAGATTTCTCGATTTAATTTAAATGCGTTGCAGAGCGATGATGTTTCGCTTGCTGTTCGAAGTCACGTTGGAAATGATTAAATGATTTTTTTGCTAATGTTCGAATGTCTTTGTTTATTTTTGTGTTGTTTTGAAATCTGGCAGCTGGCATCTGTTCCAAAGAATCATTTGATCTCTTTTGGTTATTTTCAAAAAATAAAGTATCAATATTTTACGAAATAATTATGAAATTGATGTAATAATTTTGATGATATTTTCAAATGTTGCCGAAGGTTTGTGTATGATTTATTTTTGTAGCATGTTATTTGTTTATTATATGCTAGTTTTTCTAGGAAGATTTTCTCTCTCTCATCGTCTCACAATTTCTTTTTTCTTTTCATTTATTTTATCCTATCTCAATCATTCTTTCTCTCTCTCTCTCTCTCTCTCTCTCTCTCTCTCTCTCTCTTTCTCTCTCTATCTTTCTCCCCCCCTTTATCATCTTAGATGTATAGAAGTTTTATATTTTATATTAAATCTTTTATTAGCCTGGCGATAAATTTCATACCTATTTTATGAGCCTGTTTAATGTTTGCAAGTTATATTGATTGCTATAAATTTCGATTGATGTAGATGCTGTTGCTGTTGTTGTTTTTGTCGACATTGTTGTTGTTGATGTTGCTAATGTTGTTGTTGATGTTGCTATTGATGTTGTTGTTGTTATTGATGTTGTTGTTGTTATTGTTGATGTTGTTGTTATTGTCATTGTTGTTGTTGTTATTGTTGTTGTTGTTATTGTTGATATTGTTGTTGTAGATATTGATGATTTTGTTTGTTTTGTTGTTGTTGTTGGTGATGATGACGTTTATAATGTTTGTACAAACGTTTTACAAAACTGCCATTTATATAACGCTTCCGATGTTTGATTTTACCAAATATTTGGCAGATCTGGTTTTTGGAGTTTTGGTATTTTGGCTTTTAAATGCTCGTCTGCCGTTCATAACATTCAAACTATTGGCCTTAAATAATTTTCTCTCGTTGAAAGATGAAATTAAACGATTATAACTGGGAAAATGATCAAATAAGTCATTTTTGAGCGAAAATGAAAAGATATCTAACTATTTATTTATTTATTTATATTTGTTGCCGAAAAATCTGATGTGAAAACTTAAAATAAATTTCAACCATCATTCATGCATCAGACATTCATTATATATTTTCTGCGGTGGGAATATTTTATTTCTGATGTAGATTATAAAAAGTTTTAATTTGAAAAATTTTGTATAACCGTCAAACAAACCACAGCGTTCGACATATAACTGATTGAACAAGCCTTAAACAGCATCAACCACTCAATCATTCAACCAACCATTCAACCAACCATTCAACTAACCATTCAGTCATTCAACCCATCATTTAACCATTCAACCAAACAACCAATCAACCAACAATTCAACAAACCAATCAACAAACGAACCAACCAGCCAACCAATAATTCAACGAAACAATCAACCAACCAATCAACCACCAAACCATTCAACCAATCAATCAATCAATCAACCACCAAACCATTCAATCAATCTATCAACCATCCAACAACACCACTAAATCAACAATAAGCCAGCAACTATAAATCCATCCAACCATCGGCCAACTAGGAATATTTTTTCTGTTAAGAGATTATCATGATGTATTAGGAGGCATGCAGGCACTGAACCGTGCACGAAGATGTGAATTGCGGCATATTCCACTCAATGCTTTCCATGCGCGCTGCCTCCGTACCTATAATGCTTGGAACGGCACGCCAACAAAGACGCGCTTACTGCATTAACGCGCGATAAGAAGATTTACACTTGGACGCAGTCGATTCCTAAGAAGGCAGTGCGTATGTTCCTTTCAAATTGCATACATCATCTTGAAAATTCACACACAGAGTGCCCTACAACACTCACTAACACATTTAAACAAACATCTGAACCCACATCTGAACCCACATCAGCCTGAAACCCACATCCTATTGAAATATGAAAAAATTGAGACAGACAAAGACTTTACCAGCCAAACTCGCTTATACGGACTAAAAACAGCAAATAGACAGACAGTTAGAAGCACACGGAGCCACACAGACAGATACAGAGACAAAGAGAGACATCAGAAAGCATACATCTTGGTGTTCTCATAAAATTGAAACTCTAGATAGAAGTTTATAGTGGTTGCTTCGGTTGGCAGACCGCGTACATCATAATGAGCTCACTGGCTTTATGCTCTCTCTGGCTTATCCTTATTATTTCCAGGATTATTATTATTATTTTTATCATCATCGTAATTATTATTATTAATAAAATTTGTTATCAATATTATCATTATTATTGTTGTTGTTATTTTTGTGATAGTTAATAGTTAATACGTTCCATGTTTTTGATGTATTGCACTGGCTTTCGTCAGATTATTGTTTATCTTGCTGTAATTTAAACATCAATGAAAATTACTCTAATGATTTCATTAATTAAAATGCACTTTTTTTATTTCACCTACTGAATCCTTCAACCAACATGAAACCATGCATACGCCCGTACAAATATTAACTAGTCATAAAAATTTGGTTAATTTTTTATTTCAAAATTGTTCTTAGGAAAAATTGTTAAAAAAATCTAATAAAAACGGCTTCAATTTTATAGCTTTGAATACTATTCATTTTTTATTTCGTCCATAACTTCGCAAACACTTAAATAGTTTTACTTCTGAAACATCCTGCAATTGCCCAATATATATATATATATATATATATATATATATATATATATATATATATATATATATATATATAAAATATTATTATGCAACAATATTTTGTAGTATTTTAATTGCTTGCTGTATTTTAGCATTAAAATTATTACCAACACTATTATTGATTACAATGTTATCATAGCAACACTACATCAACATTTAACGCTAGTTGTCATATTTAATGAGGAATTCATTTTTAATTTTCTAGTTTGTATAAATTAAAATTTATTACTAACGCCACTACTTCACTACTAGTGAAGCAACCACCACAGCCACTACTACTGCTACTGATAATACTATTACTAAAGTACTACAGCCGCTGACGTTACTAATACTACTTTTGTTATAACTATTATCCAAACTAGCACCTGAAGTAGTGTAACCAAAACTTCAGGTGTTTTACTACGTTTTACTACTACTACTACTACTGCTACTACTACTGCTATTATTAAATATTTACTACTACTACTACTACTACTACTACTACTACAAAAATACAAACACTACTACTATTACTGCTATTACTACTACTACCACTACTACAATGAATACTATTATTCTGGATTGGCGAGCGACATGTCGTGTTTTATGGCCCGTGGTAGGTGGGCGAAAATGCAATGAAGAAAGTATTTGTTGGGAGCTTATGAACGTTCCTTTAAGTAATTTCTATGCAAATTTCGAACAATCCACATCTCTTTAGTATTTCTGACAGTAGCCTCTACCATATCATTGTCATCATTGTTACTGTTATTCATATTGTTATAAGTATTTTTTTCATAGGAAAAAATATTTATATTACCGTTGTTGAAGCGGCAATAGTAATAATACTATGATTATTAAAAGTAGTTGCAATTAGTAATATTAGTAGTTATAATGGTACAAGTAGATAAGCAAAGTATAGCTAGTATTCATTTTAATGTGGTTATCATCATTTACAATAACAATAATGTAATCAACGTTATTGCCAGGGTTGTGACAAGACAGTGCTTTTTTTTAAACAAGACAAAGACATTGAGAGCTCGAGACGTGACCGGGACGAGATCTTCCAAAAATGTCTTGAAACATCCGAGGACAAGACAAGAAATTTGAAACGAAATTAGACCAAAACCAAGACAGCCATTAGTAGGCCATTTAACTTTACTGATGTTGAGGTTGTTCAATCTTAAAATACACTCGATTGTCGATAGGGTTGGTCCATTGCACCTTTCATGCAATAATCAACCTAGACTTTTTTAAATGAATTTAAGGCTTCAGACTTTTTTAGATTTTTCAGCAAAAAGATTATTTCCATTCGCTATGCGACATACGACTCTTTTGGACCTTTTTTTTTACTCCGTGCAATTTACATGAAATTTTATAGTTTTTTTTAGCTTTTGAACATGTTCTAATGATTATATTAAAAAAATTAGATTTGACGCACCTACTAAATCATGCTCCCTTGACTGCTTACCTACACAGATTATTAAAAATGACCTGTTTCTGCCGTTTTTCACCTTATTTATCAACCTGTGCCTTCTTTCTGGCTTTTTTTCATTAACTTTCAAAAACGCTGTGATAAGCCCTATTCTGAAAAAAGTATATTAAGCAAAAATCAACTTTCAAGTTATCGGCCTGTGTCGAACCTTGTGTTTTTGTCTAAAGTTGTTGAACGTTTTGTCTTTCAGCAACTTGTCACTCACAATAACATCAATAATCTTTTCCAGCTTACCAATCTCAGTTCCATTTGATTTTGACAGCTTTATTGGATGTTTTTTCTAATTTGTATTTTTCTACGGATGCTCAGAATGCGTCGTTGCTTGCTCTTTTAGATTTGAGCTCTGCCTTTGATTTTGTCGATCACTCATTATTTTTACGCAAGCTCCCATATTTATTTGAAGTATTGGGTGTTGTTCTTCATTGGATTGAGTCATATCTTTCTGTTTGAAACTGTTTCATACGGTGTTCCACGGGGGTCGGTTCTTGGCCCCCTCCTGTATGTGTTGTACACTGCAGATGTTTTTAAAATTTTTGACAGACATCACGGTTTTGCCGATGATATTCAGATCATTGCTAGTGCCTCCTTTTGTCGTTCTGATGATCTTGTATATAGACTCAGATCATGTCTCTCGGAAATTAATGAGTGGATGAGGGCAACTGGCTTAAATTGAATCAATTAAAAACTCAGTTTTACCGGTTGGCACTAGGCAGCAATTAAAAAAATGAACATTGAGTCTATCAGACTGGACAAATTCTGACATTGAATTTTTTAATCTAAACGCAATCTGAGATTTCTTTTTGATAATAACATGTTTTTTAACATTTATACTAAGGCGGTTTTAAAATTGGGTAGGTTTAAGCTCATCAAATGGTCCCTAAACAAGCACATTCTTCAATGTCTTCTTCATTCCTTTATTTACTCAAAAATAGCAATAGTCATAACATGGATAAGAAGCATTTGCTTGATTTAGCACAGAAAAAAAAATTCATCAAAAAAATATAACTTCAAACTTATTTAACAAAACAACTTGCCACCAAACTGAACTGAACACCAACTTTCCATCAAACTTTTTTCATTTCATTAGCACTTAAAAAGTTCCTCTGATGTAATTCACAGCAGAGCAGCAGGAGCAATCAGAAATAAATTCCCCCCCAGGACCGCCCACACAGCAGCACTCGCCACAACTCCGTCCTCCCAATTTACTTCATCATTCTAATTCAATCTAATTTTTTTTTTAAATTTTTTGATACAAACCAGTCCAGCAAGCATCTGACCATTTATACAACCACTGCTGGATGATAAAGATGCGATTGTAAGGATGGTGAGGTTGGGAAGATGATGACGATGATGGCGTTGACAGCGATGATAACGATGAAGACGATGATGAGATGATGACGATGACGTGATTATGACGGCAATGACGATGACGTGGCATTAATAAAAAAGTAATAATGTCAGAGATTATGTCATCATTCAATACACTTTTTAAAATGATAATTAGAAATATTTACAGCGGCAATTTCGGTGATAGAGTTTTTGACGACGAAGATGATGACAAGAAAATTCACAAACAAACAAACAAACAAGCCTGACAAACACACATATAGAGGATAATTTTGAAGAGATGAAATGAAATTTCGCATGAACAGATGTCCAAACATTTGCAAATCTAATCCAAAGTAACAACAGCAGCAGACAGATGGACAAAAACACAAACACGGCAGGATGTGATTAAATGAGTAAATATAAACAAACAAGTCATGATAATAAAACTAACAATGATAATTGTCCTTTAACAAATGAAATAACAAACGAAGACGACGAAGACGATGATGATGTGATTATGATGACGATGACGATGACGTTGACAATGATAACAACAAACAAAAACATCATTTAATGTAATGAAAGGCAAATTTTTATCGAGAATGTAAATAAATTTGGAGTGGTAGTAATAATAAAGATGGTGGTGGTCATGATGATTCCCGTGATGATGGTGAGTATGGAGGAAGATGATGATAAGGATGATGGTGGTGATGTTGATGTCTGCAATGGTAATGATAACGATGCTGGTCTGAACACATTTGAGAGGTGTAGAAGGAAGCAATCATATTTCCTAACCAAGCAATGTTTACATTCATTCCTCCCTTCCATTCCTTCATGCATTCATTCAATTTACTCAGTACATTCTCTGCATATAAATGATTTCATTAGCATCTGATGTATTGGACATTTCGTTTTCATATTGACCGTGCATAAGCGATGTACGAATGTGCCCGTACGTAAGTTCCCTCGTACCCGCGTGTCTACCTTTCTATATATGTCAGTGTGAGTCTGTTTGTGTGCTTGCTGACTGTTTGTACAAACACGTTTGTATATTTGCGTGATGTTGTACACTCAAGTGCACAAACATGTTTGCACTTTTTGTCTGTACGAATGCAAGTTGTTGTACATTCGTCCAACGAAGCACGTTTCCATGCTGAATTTCAAGTACAAACTCATTTGAATGAACAAATTTGTTTTATAGTTAAATTAAAAATTAATTTGTGTGTAGAACTTTGACATAAACCTGTTTAAAAAAATTTAAGTTTGAATAAATAATAAATTTTATTATTTTATATTTTTTAAAATTCATTGCATTATAGAATAATTTCACACAAAATATTTGATCATCAAAACGATAATTTGAAACTAAATTTGAAACTGAATGATAATTTGGTGTTTAGAGTGTTTGCATCATATTGAATGCACGCGACACGTACACACACGTGCACACACGTGCACACTGTTGAAACAGTCAGTCTGAAAAACAGTCGGTTCTGTAGGAAAAAATGTTGCCGCAACGTCAGATCAGGTCAGGTCAGATTAGATCAGACCGAGTCAGGTCAGATTAGATCAGACCAGGTCAGGTCAGATAAGATCAGGTCAGACCAGGTCAGATCAGATCAGATAAGATCAGATCAGGTAAGATCAGATAAGATCAGATAAGATCAGATCAGGTAAGATCAGGTCAGACCAGGTCAGGTCAGGTCAGATTAGATTAGATCAGACCAGGTCAGATCAGATAAGATCAGGTCAGACCAGGTCAGGTCAGACCAGGTCAAGTCAGGTAAGATCAGGTCAGATCAGATTAGATCAGGTCAGACCAGGTCAGATCAGATAAGATCAGGTCAGGTCAGATAAAAATGGAGGGTGAGTCATCGGTGGTCCCCAGTGATACGAGAGTGCCGGAGTGTCATGTTTTCAATTGAAATCAACTCAAACTGAAAAAACTTGCTTCAAAACGAAGTTATTAGTTTGGAAAATGAACTAGAATTAAATGGTTTAAAAAAATTATTTTAAATGTCATTCGTATATGAACCTGTGCTTGTGCGTACTTGTATGGATCCCTGTGCGTGTGAATGTGTGTTTGTGTGTGAAACGTGTGAATATGTGTATGCGTACTTTTGAATACAGTTTGTGTGTTTATTGGTAGGCTTATTCAAAATTGCATTATTCAACAAAAAGCTTTGTTAGGTTGATTTATCGACTGGTTTGCATGTAAATTGCCTGGTCGTTTATTAAATCTTGCTTTTCTTGAAAAATAAAATAACAAAATGGAAAAATAACAATAAAAAAAATCGCATTTAATAATTTTTTTTTATTTTCTTTGTCTTCTTTTTTTTATTATTACTATTATCATTAATAATGATCACATGCTTATTGTAATAAACCCTGCTTAATTACGATTATATTGAAAAGATAAAACAATCCTCAACGATAAAAGTTATTTTAAAAGAACAAAGTTGCCAACAGATGAGTGAGGAGCAGTTTGAATATGAGGTAACGAGGTAACAACACTCCCTCTATAGCACTCCAGTAACACTCCCTAGAAATGAAAGGACTGCCCTGCATACCCCCCGTTATCAAATAAAAATAATCTTAAAAAATAAAACAGTTTTTCTCTTTAAAATTTTATTTGAGTACTTAATTTTTCAAAAAAAAGTTTAATGACATAATTTCGAAAAGAATTATTTTTTCAGTGTCATCTGCCAGTATCATTTATGTCTGTGTTTATCCCTTGAAGACTACACATTTTTTGATCTCGAAATCTTCTGATGGTTATTTAAAACGGAGGCGGCCTCTAATGAGTTTTGCCTCAGAGTTGTTCATTTTATTAATTAACGTTAATCGTTTATTAAATTAAATTGAACTGAATGGAACGTCCAAAGAGTTAGGTTGGAAACGTTTTCCAGAATGAAGGAGTAATTAATTAAGTGACTGATTAGCTGGCTGGTCAAATGTTTAATTGATTTAATGAACTATTGAACGGTTTATTGACTGAATTAAAAAAGTGAAGGGTTAAGTCAAGAGCTGGTTGAATAATATATTGAATGATTGAAAAAAATGATTGAACGGCTGATTAATTGATTGATTGAATGAATTAGAATTACCGAAAAATTGGTATGAAAGAGACGGATGGCAATCAGATGAAACACATGCGACTGTGATGACGCTGACTGAGAAGAAGAAACATCCGAAGAGTAAAAGAAGTTGTTAGACATCATTTTATCATTTTTCATGACCACATTATCAACTAAAAATGTCATCAATATAACTGCATTCTTATCCCATGCTTATCAA